AATAAGATTTATACAGACTAAAACTCATGCTCATCAATAACTATATAAGTCCATACATTTTATTATTTATTAATTGGGTCATAAAATAGACCAAACAATTATTAGCTAAAATTTTAACCATAATATAACTATTATCTTAATAATGTTTTAAAGTGTCATATAGATATTAACTTTCCTTTAGTTGTTGTGTATTTCCTCCAAACATTCATTACCCACTACCATATTTTATGATATTTATTTTCTTATTGTATTAAATTTACAAGCTATATCAGTTAATATTTTATTAAGTATTTAAATATATACTTATGTTATTAGCAAAAAAATTACTATTACTGCATTCTGCATTTAATAAATAAATACTTTTATAAGTATATAATATATAAATTCATTTNAATTACTATTACTGCATTCTGCATTTAATAAATAAATACTTTTATAAGTATATAATATATACATTCACCTAATATTTAAAATATAATTTGCGTTAATTACTAAAAGTATAGTTCTTCAAAAAGGTACGCTGTATTTGACCTCGAATTTTAAGTGAGAGGCCCATGAAATTTAAGTATAAATGTAATGTTATAAGATATAAATAATAAATGTTAAAAATATCAACTTATTCTTTTAAATATGATAACATAAAATACATACATAATTATACTTAAAAATTTTTAATAATAATATTTAATGATCAACTAGTGGTTGATTTAGTTTAAGAATTGAATATTATAAATATATATATTAATACTGTTGTATTTAAATATAGAACAATCTTTTTGTTCTAATTTATAGTTATAATAGTTCAATAATAACGCAAAATGTAGTTAATAAAGATATAATCAATCAAAGTAAAATTATAGAAAATATTGATACACTTAAAAACCGGATAAATAAATAATACACAAAATGAAAACTTAAATTCACAAAGTATCATGCGGAAATAGATTACCTTCGGTACTCCCGAGGTCTTCTCTTTCTCCCCCTTTTAAATTCATTCCATTTCGTCTTATATACTAAAATATTTTCTTTTTATAAAATTCATATAGTAATCATTTTCAAAAATGTTTATATATATTTACTTAATGATCTAGTAAGAATAATTCGGGGAATTACAATTATTCTAAACATTACAAAAATGTTCTACTTCTAGGTTTACAAATAATAGACTATATTATATTTTTGTAATAATAAATCAAGAAATTCATAATTAAACCAAACAATACAAAAATGTCTTGTTTTCAGTTTTACAAAATAATGACCTATATATATATATAATAAATATATTATTTCCCATACAAAACAAAGTCTGAACGTATACGTTTGTGAACGGACGATTCAAAAATAGACCCCCAGATCATCGATAGAAAGAGTATTTTGAGTCACCACATCATTTTTGTTTTTTAACTTTTCATTACATTTGATTAGCTTTCATTCCAAACAACAACCAGTAACATCCATTAATAATGAATTAATTAAATACATATAAGCTCAAAATTAAATAATCGTTTTTTACATCCTACTCCGTGTTCCCAACAATACACAATAACGAATGCAGAAAAGACAATCGTGGCTAGTGTAACGCTTACTCATTAATAGCGATTACGATAGTACTCACTTTATTATATAATAGAACAATGAAAAAACGCTTTTCTGAAAAAATTAATTAGCGTGGTCGGATTTTCAAATTTTTTTTTTTGAAAGAAATCCGTTCGGTGAGAGCTGAGAAAAAGTGGTAACAGACACAAAAAAAAAACACATCATAGTAAAACCAATACCTTCTCAGTTTCGCATCGAAGCTAAAAAAAATTTGTCCCGACACTTTATCTTCTGCATGTAAACGGCTGCCGTAGTTAAATAAACGCTATTTTTGTGTTAAAATTTTCGTTTTTCGATTTTAAATTTTAAATTTTCAACTTAAAAATGCTATAACTTTTCGAAAAATGTATGTATCAGCACAAATTTTTTTTTTCTAAACATACTATAAGTACATCTTTCATTTGACATACTTTTTATTAAAATTAGACAATTATCCCTTATATATTAAATTTATAAGCGTTCAAAACTAAAAATATTGTATAAAAAATAGAACTTTTTCAACTGAACTTTTGAAAATGTTCCGTAAATACTGCGTCCTTTAAACATATATCAAATTAAATCTTATTTTATGTACTATAAAATAAAAAAAAAAAATTGTCCCGACACCTTATCTACTGTGTGCAAATTGCGGTCAAAATTTAAAAAACAATGTAATATTTGCAATAAAATCAATTTTTATAAGGATGTTTTTTGTACTTAAAACTACCATAACTTTTTCAAGTATTAACAAATCAAAATAATATTTTTTTATATTGAAACTTTAGGTAATTTCCTTTCGTTTGATATCACTTTTTTTTTTTGAAAATAAAAAATTTTTTTAAATATATATCAAATTAAAGCTTATGTCATGTACTATAGAATTAAAAAAAAAAATTTGTCCCGACGACCTATCTTCTATGCGCAAATGGCTACTGTATTCAAAAATATGCTATTTTTGTGTTAAAATCCTGAGTTTTGTATTTTATTTTATATTAAAATATCTTACGAATGGGAATACACTGATTTTCATGAATATTATTTAATTTAATTGACATAAATGAAGTTCATAAGACATAAGAAATTAAACTTATTAAAATTTTTTTACTTTTAGGTATTAATTTTACTATGATGTTTTTTTTTTTTTTATGTCTGTTGCCACTTTTTCTTAGCTCTCACTGGACCGTTTTCTTTCAAAAATACGTCAAAAGTCACAAATCGTATCTAGTTGAAAACATTACCATTAAAAATTGAAAAACATTCCCTGGTTCCCCGCAAATGGGGGAAATATCCAAAAAAATTACAAATTTAAAAATCGCTAATTTTCGAAATTTTTTCATTTTTTTTTTCTTAAAACTTCCATAACTTTTTGAAAAATCAACAAATCAACATAATTTTTTAGCTTCGATGCGAAGCTGAGAAGGTATTGGTTTTACTATGATGTGTTTTTTGTTTTGTGTCTGTTACCACTTTTTCTCATCTCTCACCGAACGGATTTCTTTCAACGATACGTCAAAAGATCACAAATCGTATCTAGTCGAAGACATTACCCTTCAAAATTGAAAAAGTTTCCCTCGTTCCCCGTAAATGGGGGAAACCTCCAAAAGTAACTCTCACTTTCATTTTTTTAATTCCAACAAAAATAATCATTCTGACCTTTTTTCATTTAATATTTTTTTTTATATTTTTTATTAATATTTTTGAGTTACGACAATTAGAATATTAATAATTTTTGAGTATACCAGGAGTGTATTTAAGGGAGATATAGGCCCCCCTTGAACCAGCGCTATCAATATTTTTTTAGGCAACTTCTAATAAATAAGGACTTAATGTCCTTTTTTCCTTCATTACTTCAATTTTTAGCAAAAAAAATTCTATAACAAGTTTAACAAAGTAAAAAATATTAAATGCCCTCCTAAAATAATTTTTGAATAGGCCTAAAGGGAATATCTCATTAACAAACGTCAACTTTATACCCAATACATTTTACTATATTCGCTTTTTGAATTTTCCCGATTTTAATAATATATTATTGTTACACCTATTTTGTTGTAATATTTTTTCTGCAAAACTCTTATCGTGCCAGGTGTAGCTGGGTACCCCTACCGGAATCAGTGGTCTACTTATGATAACAGCCCGAAGAGGCTGGTAGGACTCTGGGGCAGAACCTCAGCTAGAAATAATAATATAAATATTGCGTATATGTGATTGTGGCGGGGGCCGTGTATATTATTAAGTAATTAAACTAGAGTTTTATACAGCGGCGGCAACAAACGCATTAGTCAGTCATTTCTAGCTGGACTTGGACGGTCAGGAAGGTACGTGAATCCTCTATCTTACCCTACTAGTTCCATTATCACAATTTTTATTTTTATTTAAATTGTTATGCATTAACTAGTTAAAAGTAAGATAGCAAATTATATATTTATAGAAATTTTAGCAATATTTTTCATTCAGGTTAACTTAAATGAATTTTGATTGTAAAATAAATTTAAACACATTCACAATTTATATATTTATTTCTATTCTATCGCAATGAATTATTTAATTAAAATCGTATTTATTATAATGCAAAAGTATTAATTATTTTAACAAAAAGTAAGTGGATTTTTTTAAAACTTAAGGCTCATTTAAATGTCTGATGTATTTTTTGTTGACATATACTCTCTTGTGCCTTAGTCCAATCAATTGTAACCTCCAATTTTGCTAACCTAGAAGCTAAATTTTTAAGGTCTTCTATTTGTTTTAAATCATCAAGTACTTCATGATAATATTTCGCGTACATTTCTCTGAATTCTAAGAAAAATAAACCAAAATATTATTAATTGATTAAAAGAAAATAGATGTCAGTTTTTTAATTAATACTGGAATAATTCAACTTGATAAATTAATATATTAACTTTTTATCAACTATAAATTTTTCGATAATCCCTATAATTTAAAACGATTATCGATAATATAAAAATAAGCGTATATACCGGCTATTTTCATTTTTTTCAAACATTTCAGCCATATGGCTTGGCTTTTCTGGATAACGAATCAAAAGTTATTTTACTAATATATTATATATCAGAATAAAATTTTTATTTTAAAAATTACTTAAATAAAAATCATGCATATAATTTTATTTAGTAAGATTAATTTTATAGTAAATTTAGAAATCCTTATTTCAAATTAAGGGATATTAAGATCAAGTCATAAGAGTGAAATTAAATAGCATTTGATGGCATATAGGAATCTATTGCAAATGGTTCCATTTGGTTGGCTATAAATGAAATTAGTAAATTAAGATACCATTCGCCATCCCGACAACAGATAAATTATCATTCTTGGAGTCACGAAAACTTTTTGAAAAATAATCACATTGTCATTAGATAGGTACTATAAAGTCTAAAAGTCTTAAAAATTATACATAATATTTATTTTACTTTCAAAGCTGATATCTTGTTTGTCAATACTTTCATTATTTATTAACTTAGTAGCTTTATCTTGCGTGATTTTGAAACTAGTTTCATCTATAGCTTTTATTAATTCGTTTGTAGTCATCTTTTTATCTTTGTTGAGATATTTTTCATAAATAGTTTTTAATCGATCCTCAATTATTTGTACAACTTTTTTCATTTGTTTCAAAAATTGATCCAAATTCATAATTTTGTATTTATCTGAAGTAAAGATTATGTGTTATCAATTCATTTTTATTTAAAGGAAAGTGGAAATATCAATAATTTTATAAGTAATAATCACTGACTGACATTTAAATATCACTTAATATAATTAATTTATTATAATATGATATATAATAATTTATAATGAGAATAGTTTTTATATTACTTGAAAATCTAATAATACTTCCTAAGACGTTTAAATTATTATATTGATTAAATATTATGTATACAAAGTATTAGTTTGAAGTATATTTATCGAAATATTTTGACTAAATACGACAATAAACAGATAACTTAAGTCATCTCATTATTATTACCGCAGACACAATAACGTTAATACAAGAAATTTATTTGAATGATCAAAATTTCAAAATTATTTAAAAAAAATAATGGTAGAAGAAATCAGTTCTGTGAGAGCTGAGAAAAATTGGCAACAGAAACACGAAAAAACCAAATCATAGTAAAATTAATACCTTCTCAGTTCACATCGAAGCTAAAAAAATTATAGAAGAACTTAAATTATGAAATGAAAATAATTTTATGATACGACCGTGGTAATATTAGTACGTGAAACACGACCGACCATGATATAATTATTGCTATTTGTTTATTTTTGAATTATTTAAAAGTTTAATTAATTAATTATTTAATTTAAACTAAGAAACTATGTAATTAATGCATGACTACATATGGAACTAAAGACTTATTATATTAAGGGTTACAAAGTGATTGAAAAAAAAATTTATGGTGATATTAACATTTGTTATATTAATAGATCCTACCACGGTTGTTGATAAAATTTAGTTATTTGAATATTTTATAAATTATATTTCTGTATTTGTCATTTCATATTTTTATGTGTAGATAAATTGGCTACTTTTAATATTTGTTTTCAACTTGTTTCTGTTATAGTATTATATTTAAAATTAAAAAAAACTATTTTGCAATTTGGTGTGTGTTACTCGGAAACGCCCTCATTTTTGAGGAACTATAGTCCCTCCTTCTAGTTTTTTCTACTTTAAACTCTATCTTAACTCAAAATGATGTATTACCTTGAATGATACAAATTAAAACATATGCAAATGTATTAAATTTATCAGAATTTATTAAAAATAAAATTTAAATTTATTATCATAATTAAAGTTTTACTTACTATTTTGAACTTCGTCAAAGAATAATGTTATAATTTCACGATCATCCAAATTATGTACCAATCTAAAAAAAACCAATAGCGAATCAAATTTCGTTAATTTCATTACTTGATTATTCATTGTATTCTCTATATACAAATTTTTCAAAACATTTCGGGATGCCATAGTCAATTCCATGTCCTAAATAAATAATTAAATGCCATATAATTGAATTATATGAATTATGAGTTAGTAATAATATGAATTTAAATTTTTAAATAAAACAGTTTTAAACACTTATTAAAATCAATTTCATAAAAACGCATCGATGCTAAATTTGTAGATAGAGTTTAATATTTATATAGAATTGTTGGATTATTCTAAAAGCAATCAACTCATATTTCCTTAAGCAAATCCCGATGAAAACTTTATGATTTATTGGTAAATTACATAAATAAATAATTAGTATAATTTAATATTGTCATTTTTATAAGACAAATATAAAAATATAAGAAAAGAAAATATTTATAATTTAAACATAAATCTTATATACAATATTTTTTTTGTAAATGAGGGAAAATTAATGGGGCACTTATCTCCCATAAATCTATTAAGCCATAGACATTACCCTCAAAAATTGAAAAAAATTCCCACATTCCCGTAAATGGGGGAAATCATTCAAAAAATTACAATTTTAAAAACCGCTATATACGAGGGGGTTCAAATCTAAACAATGCATGTAGAAAGTATAACTTTTTCAACTTAACTTTTGAAATTGTTCCGGAAAGTCTGACACTATTTTATATATCTCAAATTAAAACTAATGTAATATACTTTATTATGGTAAAAAAAAATTTCGGACTTTATTTTATCTTTATGGTGAAAACAGACATCAAAGTTAATAAAAAAAATCGATTTTTGTAAAAAAATTCTTTTTTTATATTTTTAACTTTATAATGCTATAACTTTTTGAAAGGTGTATGGATCAATATAATTCATTTTTTAATAAATGCATGATGTCTTTACCTATCATTTGGTATATTTTTTTTTATATCTGACTCTTTACCTGTCTACAGGGGGGGATTTAAAATGACAACTTTTTCACAAAAAATTTACTTTTTCAATTTAAATTTTGAAAGTGTTCCAGAAAGTCTGACACTTTTATATATATCTTAAATTAAAACTAATGTAATGTGCTTTATTATAGAAAAAAAAATTTCTGACTTTATTTTGTCTTGTATTTCTTTTGAGCATATAATAATATGCCCACAGGAGCAATTAAAATAATAACTTTTCTACAAACAATTAACTTTTTCAACTTGTCTTTTGAAAATGTTCCCGAAACACTGACACTTATATATATATATTAGGGTGTCCCTTATTTTGAAAATTTTGGAAACTCTTCGGGCTCACCCACCAAATTTGTGTGTATACATATAAAAAGTGGCTACAAAAAAATTCAGCCCGATCAGATAAGTTTAAGCCGTGCCGACTTGGGGTTGAAAATCGGCCAAAAGGGGTACTTTTTTAGTTTTTAGTAATTAACTCGTAAATTAGCGCTCTCACAAAATAAAATATTGAAACTAAATTGTATATCTAATTGTTTTGTATAAATTAAGTCCTTACAGTTTTTCTTTTAAATCCATTAGTTTTCTAGAAAAATGTCAAAATACATAATATTTCGTAAAATTGACGAAATTAGCATATTTACGAATATTTCATCATATATGACGAACCATATGTGATACGACCTAATGATTCATAAAAAAATTGTTTAAAATTAAATTTTACGAAATAAAAAAAATAAGTTCCAATTTCATTGAATCGATCGTTTTATTGCTATAGCTGAAATAACTCGATCATATTACGATTTTTACTAAATATATAAATTTTAATGCTTAATTTAAATATATTTCATTTATATTGTAAAGTGATGTAGTTGTTTGAATTAAACGTTAAATTATACTTACTTCTCAATATTGTATAAATAAAAAAAAAATTACTACATAAAATACAAAATGTTAAATTCAAAATAATTCACAAATTATAACAAAAATATGCATTAAAAACTATGTTTTAATGTTTCTTTGATGCAATTAGGATATAATATGCTATGCTCTTGGACATAGTGTAAAAGTAACTCAGCTTTTTCATCGTTTACAGTTAAACTTTCATGAAAATCTTCCATTAGCTTAACCGCTTTCTCTGCAGAGTCATTTACTACTTTAAGTGAACATACAATTTCTTTTCCGTGTAAAAAAAAAATTATCAGTATTCCAATTACTTGGATCCAAATTTAAAAAATTAGTATTGATATCGAATTGTTTAAAAAATTTCATACTGCTTTTTGACAAAAAAGAAGCTACAGTTTTTTCTAAAAAAAAATATCAATCACTCACTAGTCATCAAAAAATAAAGATATCAAAAATTATTATACCTGAAAATGATTTGTCAATATTACTCGATGAAAGAATAAAACGTTTGCTAGGGTTTATTATTGACTCATTATTAAGGAAATTCAACTATTAATTTTTTTATTTCGGTTGAAATGGAATCGTCCATTTCCCAGAAAATATTGCACTCGCGAATAGTCAATGCTGCTTTTGCTCTTATAATAAGATTAACAATTCTTAGGTTATAAAAAATAACTTTTAGAACTTGCCCTATGGATGGAAGTTTTGAAGCTAAAATTTGAGTAATCAAATACCCTATTAAAAATATTTTATTGTCATTTCGTAATACTACCGACATTTTTACGTACACTAAAAGAAAAACACAATAGGAAGCAGTTCAACTTAATACGCGATGTGAGCGACTAAAGTGGTATAAGTATAAGTTCACTATATCTATTGCTGCGATTTGTAATAAATTTACGATTTCCAGAGTTATTTATAATTTAAAAATAATAACAATACATTAATTCAGTCATACCATAGTATTATCGCCGTACTTGTACGATAAGTGTTGTAATGAACCAGATGATAACTAACAGAATCTAGCATTAAAATTCATATATTTAGTAAAAATCGTAATATGATCGAGTTAATTCAGCTATAGCAATAAAACGATCGGTTCAATGAAATTTGTACTTAATACTTTTATTTCGTAAAATTTAATTTTAAACAATTTTTGTATGAAACATTAGGTCGTATCACATATGGTTCGTCATATATGATGAAATATTCGTAAATATGCTAATTTCGTCAATTTTACGAAATATTATGTATTTTGACATTTTTCTAGAAAACTAATGGATTTAAAAGAAAAACTGTAAGGACTTAATTTATACAAAACAATTAGATATACAATTTAGTTTCAATATTTTATTTTGTGAGAGCGCTAATTTACGAGTTAATTACTAAAAACTAAAAAAGTACCCCTTTTGGCCGATTTTCAACCCCAAGTCGGCACGGCTTAAAATTATCTGATCGGGCTGAATTTTTTTGTAGCCACTTTTTAGATGTATACACACAAATTTGGTGGGTGAGCCCGAAGAGTTTCCAAAATTTTCAAAATAAGGGACAACCTAATATATATATACAGGGTGATTTTTTTATCATAACCCACTCAATTACTTGCAGAATAATAATAATTTAAACATTTTTTTTTTTATTATTTTTAGTTACACATTATTCTTGAATTTTTAACTATGTAATACTTTTTAAGTTCATCCCTTATGCCTTGGAAGGGGGTCAACTTTGTTTTTTTAAATGGTAACACATATTTTTAATTTAATAAAATGTTTGAGTTTTTAATTTAATAGTAAATGGCATTTGAATTTTTAATATAACTTAATTCGTTTATTAGATATAATCATTTAAAGTTTCAAATTTTTGAATTAATATACAGGTATAATACACAAGGGATTACAAATACAGGTAGCTAATTGGTTTTTTATAACATCGATATTAGCAGGTACACAGCATTGTTATTATCAATTGTAGTAAGGCACATTGTTATGAGTTTATAAATACACTAACTGACAATACAGAAAGTATATCTATTGATAATCATAATTGATAATTCAATCAAATAATTCAATAAATCCAATTAGCTACATGTATTTACAATCCCATGTGTACTATACATGTATATTAACTCAAAATTTTGAAACTTTAAATGTTTATATCTAATAAGCTAATAAAGTTATATTAAAAATTCAAATGCCATTTACTATTAAATTAAAAACTCAAACATTTTATTAAATTAAAAATATGTGTTACCATTTAAAAAAACAAAGTTGACCCCCCTCCAAGGCATAAGGGATGAACTTAAAAAGTATTACATAGTTAAAAATTCAAGAATAATGTGTAACTAAAGATAATAAAAAAAAAAAAAAAAATGTTTAAATATAATTATTCTGTAAGTAATTGAGTGGGTTATGATAAAAAAATCACCCTGTATATTATAAATATCTTAAATTAGAGCTAATGTAATATACTTTATTATGAAAAAAAAATGTTTGAACTTTAGTTTGTCTTCATGGTTAAAATGGCTACTATATTCAAAAATATATTATTTATGTGTTCAAAATCTCGGTTATGTATTTTATTTTAAAATACCTTACAAAGAGAGTACACAGATTTTCACAAATATTATATAAATCAAAATTGACATACTATATAAAGTTGAACTTAATTAACTTCTACTTTTAAGTCGAGAAAAATAAATTTTAAATTTGAACTAGCCTAAATTGCCATTTTTATTGATAGACGAATGCAACGTACAGTTGTTTTGTTGGTAACACTAGTGTCCTCGCCCTTGGGGTACGATATTCAAACGCGCCTGTGGCAATGAATTTTTTCATTTTTAGAGTAAGAAAATAATTTTTAACTAATTTAATTTTTATCTTATTTAGAACTTCAATGAATTTCAGGGACCCCATCACTGTAATCTCCCGTCGTGAGAGGACATTTCTTATTCATATTAAAATTATTTTACTAAGTGTTATTTTTTTGTATCTGTCATTAATTTTTTTTCAAAAATGGGTTTAGAAAAGTATATTCTGGTCCCTGGTAAAAATTCTTTGTAGACCAGTGTATTTTTTCATAAGTTACAATAATGTATTCATATATTATACATATAAATGTAAAGAAAAAACCACTAATCATGTGAACGTGTCAAACTATGCCACGACTATACTGTGATGTAATCTCACTGTGCTACTGTTTTTCTTTTTTATAAAAATTGTTAAATCCAAAAAAAAAAAACTAAAATCAGTTTTGGAAAAATTCTTATTTAAAAGCAAGGCGCTCCCTGTTTGTAAAAAAAAATAAATAATTTATTAAAACCCACTAATATTTTTATTATTCCTCAAAATGAATTTTTTAATTAGAAAAAATTTAACAATTTACTTTTATTAATAATTAAAAACTATCGTTTTACCTCGTTAAAAGGTGGATTTTTGAATAGAATTGCGTTTGAAAAACTAGTAGTTAGATACATCACGATGAAAATGTTGCAATACATTATTGGATTAATAAATTGACGTTTTCGAATAAAACTAATAAGTTAAACAGTTGAAATGATAGATTAATTGAAATTCTATTTATTTTATAACAATACTCTGTTGATTTAGTGTTAAAAAAACGTCATTTTTAAGTATTTTTAAAATAGAAATAAAAGCGTTTAATAAATTTAATTTTTTTTAGCTTCGATGCGAAGCGGAGAAGGTATTAATTTTACTATGATGTGTTTTTTTTTTTTTTTTTTTTCTGTTGCCACTTTTTCTCAGCTCTCACTGGACCGATTTCTTTCAAAAATACGTCAAAAGATCACAAATCGTATCTAGTTGAAGACATTACCCTTAAAAATTGAAAAAAATTCCCTCGTTCCCCGCAAATGGGGGAAATATCCAAAAAAATTACAAATTTAAAAATCGCTAATTTTCGAAATTTTTTCACTTTTTTTTCTTAAAACTTCCATAACTTTTTGAAAAATCAACAAATCAACATAATTTTTTTTTATACTAAAACCTTAGATATTTACCTTTCATTTGATATCATTTTTTTGAAAATCTATCACTTAACCTGCTCATTAGGGGGGATTTAAAATAGCAACTTTTTTACAAAAATTAACTTTTTCAACTTAAATTTTGAAAATGTTCCAGAAATACTGCGTCCTTCAAACATATATCAAATTAAAAATTATTTTATGTACTACTAAATGAAAAAAAAAAATTTGTCCCGACACTATTTCTTCTACATTTAAACGGCTGCCGTAATTAAAAAAACGCTATTTTTGCGTTAAAATTTTCGATTTTCGATTTTTAATTTTCAACTTAAAAATGCTATAACTTTTTGAAAAATGTATATATCAGCACAAATTTTTTTTTCTAAATACATTATAAGTACATCTTTCATTTGACATACTTTTTATTAAAATTGGACAATTTCCCCTTATATAGGGGGCGTTCAAAACTTAAAATATTGTAAAAAACATAGATCTTTTTCAACTGAACTTTTGAAAATGTTCCGGAAANAAACTTTTTCAACTTAACTTTTGAAAGTGTTCCGGAAATACTGCGTCCTTTAAAAATATATAAAATTAAAGCTTATTATATGTACTATAAAATAAAAAAAAAAATTTGTCCCGACGATCTATCTTCTATGTGCAAATGGCTACCATATTGAAAAATATACTATTTTTGTATGATAATTATGGGTTTTGTATTTTATTTTAATAGAAGTTGATGTTGCTTTTGCAATNAATCGGAATGTTTTTTGTGCTTAAAACTGTCATAACTTTTTCAAAAATTAACAAATAAAAATAATATTTTCTTGTATTGAAACCTTAGATATTTCCCTTTCATTTGATATAATTTTTTTTGAAAATCTAACACTTATTCTGTTCACTGGGGGGATTTAAAATTGTAACATTTTTACAAAAATGAACTTTTTCAACTTAATTTTTGAAAATGTTCCGGAAAAACTGCGTCCTTCAAACATATATAAAATTAAAGCTTATTTTATGTACTACAAAATGAAAAAAAAAATTTGTCCCGACGACCTTTTTTTCTACATTTAAACGGCTGCCGTAGTTAAAAAAACACTATTTTTGTGTTAAAATTTTCGATTTTCGATTTTTAATTTTCAACTTAAAAATGCTATAACTTTTTGAAAAATGTATATATCAGCACAATTTTTGTTTTCTAAATACATTATAAGTACATCTTTCATTTGACATACTTTTTATTAAAATTGGACAATTTCCCCTTATATAGGACGCGTTCAAATGTTGAAATATTGTAAAAAATATAGAACTTTTTCAACTTAACTTTTGAAAGTGTTCCGGAAATACTGCGTCCTTTAAACATATATAAAATTAAAGCTTATTATATGTACTATAAAATAAAAAAAAAAAATTTGTCCCGACGATCTATCTTCTATGTGCAAATGGCTGTCGAAAATTAAAAAAAAATGTAATGTTTGCGATAAATATTACCTTTTATCGGAATGTTTTTTGTGCTTAAAACTGTCATAACTTTTTCAAAAATTAACAAATAAAAATAATATTTTCTTGTATTGAAACCTTAGATATTTCCCTTTCATTTGATATAATTTTTTTTGAAAATCTAACACTTATTCTGTTCACTGGGGGGATTTAAAATAGTAACTTTTTTACAAAAATGAACTTTTTCAACTTAATTTTTGAAAATGTTCCGGAAATACTGCGTCCTTCAAACATATATAAAATTAAAGCTTATTTTATGTACTACAAAAATAAAAAAAAAAATTTGTCCCGACGACCTATCTTTTATACGCAAATGGCTGCCGTATTCAAAAATATGCTATTTTTGTATTCAAATTATGGGTTTTGTATTTTATTTTAATAGAAGTTGATGTTAATTTTGCAATTATCCATCAATTTTTTAAAATTAAACACTATCTACAGATTTGCATCGAAGCGTTTCTTATAAAATAAATTTAATTTTTTTTTTTTAATATATAGATACGATTTGTGATCTTTTGACGTATTGTTGAAAGAAATCCGTTCGGTGAGAGCTGAGAAAAAGTGGTAACAGACACAAAAAAAAAAATATATATATAAAAAATAAAAAAACAAACACATCATAGTAAAACCAATACCTTTTCAGCTTCGCATCGAAGTTAAAATGTATATTTTGGTCTCTGATGAAAATTCCTTGTAGACCAGAGTATTTATTCATAAGTAACAAAAATGTATTCATATTTAATACATATAAATTAAAGAACTATTAAACTACTATACTTGCCCCAACTATGACACGACCACATTCCCACTTTGCTACCGTTTTTTTATATAAGAATAGTTAAATACAAAAAAAATTAAAATCCGTTTTTGAAAAATTCTTTTTTAAGAGAAAAGCGCTCTTTTTTTGTTTAAAAAAAAATAGTAGTAAAGGAAACCCCGCTAATATTTTTATTATTTTGATATGGTAACAAAAGTTTAAATTAAAGTATGAGCTACTTTTAATTATTGCATTACTAACTATTTTCATGAGATTTTAATTCTCGATTAAAACTATGGCTAAATTTTTTTTTATTCTAAAATCAAATTTGAATTAAATTTGATGCGTTATGTTAAAATGCTATATCTATATAAGATAAAATAAAAAATAATCCACAACTTAATAAACACTTAGTTATTCCTCAAAATGAATTTTGTAATTAGAAAACATTTGACAATTTACTTTTATTAATAATTAAATAATATCTTTTTACCTTGTCCAAAGGTGAAAATTCGAAAAGATATGCGTTCGAAAGACAACTAGTTAGATACATCACGATGAAAATGTAGAAATACATTTTTGGTTTGATAAATTGACGTTTTCGAATAAAACTGATAAGTTAAACAGTTGAAATGATAGATTAATTGAAATTCTATTTATTTTATAACAATGCTATGTTGATTTAGTGTTAAAAAACGACATTTTTAAGTATTTTTAAAATAGAAATAAAAGCGTTTAATAAATTTAATTTTGTTTTAATATGTAATAATTCTTATTTAAAACTAAGTAAACATTTTATTTATTGATGAAGGTGCCGAAACTAGTTTTATAGAATTATTTTATTCTCATCATTGTACTAAAATTACCAGTAAAAACTTCTATTCTTTTGTTTCAGTTATCACTGAAAACTGAAATTTATCTATTAAGATTTGACGTTTTGCAGTTGTTTTTTTTAAATGGCTGCTAAATTTCTCAATAAATTATCTATTTAACTAAAAATAACACTAAAATATTATTTTTTATTTTTATTAATTTACGAAACCACATGTTTTTTGCAAATTTGTTCTACTATTATACTTAACTAAAAATATAGAAGTAAATTATTTATTTTGATTTATTTTTTGATCATGTTCTTATTTACCTCTCTGCTGTATTAATAGTTACATGATTTGTAATGCAACCCACGATATGAGAAAACAGTCTCCTAGTATTTGAAACATGTTTCGACATATTTACCTTAAATTAAAGCTTAATATACAATATTAAAAAAAAAATTACCTCTGAACTTGTTTTTGTAGTTAAAACGAAAATCAAAGTTAAATTCAAACAAATATAATACATTTTTTCACTTATAAATCAAAGAACATCAATCAGATTATAATTAAGGAAATAGGAGTTGATGTTACTTTTGGAATAATTTACTAATTTCATAAAATTAAACAATATCTACAAATTTGCATGGTATCATTTTTTATGATAGTGATTTTAATCATTATCAGATATCATCTATATTTGTCTCAAATATGCCACATTCCCACTGTACCACGCTCCAACTTTTATACTAGTAAATTTTTAACAGTTCTGTCTCATAGTATGAGATTTAACTATTGTAAAATTAATGTATCAGTTTTAATATATGAGCTATGAATGAATTACAATACTATTTTATTTGCAATGAAATTAAGGAATTTTAATTAATGAGACCGATCTTACAGAAATACAATGTAATCCCTAATACACAGTTTGGGTTTCGTGCAAGACACTCCACAATTCATCAAATCCACCGTCTGACGGATATGATCGCTTAATCTTTTGTAAACAAGCAATACTGTACAGGCTTATTTCTTGATGTCGCACAAGCATTTGACAGTGTTTGACAAAATGGTTTACTTTACAAATTGAAAAAAATATTTCCAGCCCCTATATACCTCATTATAAAATCATATTTACAAGACAGAAAATTCTTTGTCAGACAAGGTAGGGCGAATTCATCTTATTACGCAATCGAGGCCGGGGTCCCCTATCTTTCTCCTGACCTCTATAACATATTTACTGCAGATATGCCACAAAGTAGAAACACATTACTAGCTACTTTTGCTGGTGATACAGCAATTCTAAGTCAACACAAAAATATAAACTATGTGGCTCATTATCTACAATCACATACTAACGCTTGTGAGAAATGGTTTAAGAATTGGAAAATCAATGTTAATGAAAATAAGTCCAGTCAAGTTACCTTCGCTCTCCGACAAGAAATATGTCCCGCTATAATTATTCCCACGAAATAACTGGTTGTAAATTACCATCTAATTTACAAGTGTTGAAAACATTGTTTTTTAATTTAAGAGTTGTATAATTAAGTGTTCGGCAAAGTGCGTTGTTAGTTTTACGTGAAGTAATGATTTTTTGGGATATGGCGCGGATCCCAACTATATTGGAAAGAAATTGTGTTGAAAAAATAGAATGTTTGTATGAAGAGTGGCGACTTCTACAAAAACACGCTGGTCGAAATATTGTCAGCCACAAAGAAAAAGTTGATGCTTTTACATTAAAGTTTAATAACTTGTTTGATATTGCACATACTGATGCTTTAAGCCTTATAAAAATAGATGAAGATAGACTATTTTTGATAAATCAAAGAGAAGAAGGTCGATCAGGATTTTTGCATGGGATTTCTAATGAAATTAACTATAATAATGATAACGAAGAAATAGAAACTGAAAGCATAATCGTCTTACAGGATATGTTGAATTAAAATTTAAACTATCAAAAATTTACATTACAAATAATATTACTTATGATTTAAATTATTTTTAGATTTGGAAATTTCAATGGCATCCACTTCATTAAGTGAGAACTCCGACACTGATGATACTGATAATAGTTATGAATTCCCACCACCAAAAAAGCTGAAAGGTAAACGACAAACAATTACTCCTAAACTAGTTTGTGTTATGGACAGTCGTAAAATAAGCGATAGAGCTGCTGTACACATACTTGTTGCTGTTGTTGAAGTGTTAGGGGAGAACATTGATGATTTTATTATTAATAGATCGTCAATTCAACGTTGTCGAGCAATCTTACGAAAAGAGAGGGCAGCTTCAATTAAAAATCAATTTAATGATTCCGATTTAAATGCTCAAGTATTACACTGGGATGGTAAGCTTCTCCCACATTTAGGCGACAGTAAAATAATTGATAGAATGTCAATAATTGTTAGCAATAGTGATTCCGAAAAACTTCTCGCTATACCAATATTAGAACAAGGGACAACTAAAAATCAAGCATTAATGCAATATGAAACTTTAGTCCAATGGAACATAAATAAATCAGTAAAGGCTTTATCTTTCGATACAACTGCTGTAAATATTGGTCATTTAGGAGGTACATGTGTTTTGTTGGAACGACCCTTAGAAAAAGAATTACTTTATTTACCTTGCCGCCACCATATATTTGAAATTATACTCAGAAGCATTTTTGATAATAAAATTAGTTGTTCTACGGGTAAAGACGTACCAATTTTCAAGCGATTTCAGCAGGCTTGGAATAATTTAAATAAAGAAAATTTTAAACCCTATATATTTGAAAGTAATATTAATGAAATGATAGAACCAGAACTTCAGAAGATAATAATTTTTGTAGAAAATAATTTAAATACAGTACAACCAAGGAATGACTATAAAAAATTCCTCGAGTTAACATTAATTCTTTTCGGTGTAAAAAGTCATAATAGTCAATTTTTTCTTAAGTCAGGTGCTATTCATCATGCTCGATGGATGGCCAAGGCCATTTATAGCCTCAAAATATATTTAATTAGAGACGAATTCAAACTTATTAGTAGAGAAATACAAGGATTACGCGATGTTTGTTTGTTTTTGGTACTAGTTTATGTTGAATCATGGTTTACAGCAACTTCGGCGATTGCAGTACCATATAATGATTTGAATTTTGTTAAAAAGATTAATAGACAGTGAAATAATCCAAGTTACGCTTTCTAAATTTATAAATCACTTATGGTACTTAAGTCCACAATCCATGGGCCTGACATTTTTTGATAATAAAATAGATATTAATATTAAAAGAAAAATAATCACTCAACTTAATTCAACGTCAAGTCAGTCTTCGAAACGTTTGAAATTAAACAAATTCGATATAGCCGATTTTGTAAAATAAGATATTGAATATTTTGTATCAAAAAAAACGTTAGATTTTTTTAAACTATTTAATCTGAACATTGATTTTTTTAAAATTGATCCGTCATTTTGGAGTGCGAACAATAGTTACATAAATGCTTTAAATACTATAAGCAAATTACGAGTCGTTAATGATACAGCCGAGCGTGGGATTAAATTAATCGAAGACTACAACAATATATTAACTACAAATAAAGAGCAGAAACAATACGTTTTACAAATAGTAAGTTATTATCGGACAAAATTTCCTAATTGTAAAAAATTATTTTAACAAAAAATATTTTGTAATTTAATGAAATTTAATTTTCTACTGTAATTATTCTGTAAAATATTTTGTTTTAAAATTATTATTATTTTAAACAAAATAAATTAAAAATTGTTAATAACAAGTAAAATATTTTATAAAAAAAATTATGTTATAATAAAATCAGATTTGTTTTCTAAGATATGATTAACATTCAGATTATACACTTACAGGGAGATCTCAATTAAATATAATTTATTGGTAAACAAGTATTAATCAAAAAGCATAACTTATAACCAAAAAATAAATTTTTTTTTTAATCAAAAAATGTAATAATACAATAATTTTAATTACATTTAATATGTAACAATAAACAGGTAAAATATGATTAGACGTGTCCACAAATTGTCTGCTGTATTTATACCGCACAATTTATGTCAGTCGAATGAAAATAACTCAAATATACTTATCTTTAATGATAATACAATTAGAACTATCTTAAAGCAATTCAGTAAACCAAAATTGATACAGTAATACGACAAAATGTAATGATACAATAAATTTTGTTAGGTTTGTAATTAATCATTAATTAATTGTCCATAAAATAATAAATCTAATATAATTATCGTATTTGGCATAAAAAATTTAACTTTTAGAACCTTTTTTTAAACGAATATGCGTTTTCCAAAGAATAAAATGAAAATAAATAAGTGAAAATCAACAAAATCCGTTACAACATATTTTTAACACTTTTATATGTTTTTTACTGTATGTAGTGTTTTTGTGGACTATTTATTGAGAAAACTACGTTGAAATTATTATTTTTGAATTTCTTGTAAAATTTCCTTTATTTTTATAGTTTTACTTTCATAATTCTAAGTTAAGCAAAAAAATAGGTTATGAGACATAGATCAGTTATTTCTATTAAATTTGCCTCTTCAACTCAACTTAATAGGCCCGGAAGCACGGGTTAACCTTTATAGATCGGTCCCAAATTTTGCACAGCTCATTTTTCTGACTATTAAAAAAAAATTAAGGGGTAGCGTAAAAAAATAGACATTCGATTTTTGAGGGCCACCCTATTATACATGCCTTGTCATTAATTAGTCAAAAAAAAAACTTATTGTACGTATAGTTCTATAAATTTTTTTTTGTAAAATAAAAGAAAAAAAATTTTTTTTTATTTACGTTTTTAACAATTGTAATTTTGAT